CTGAAGTAATGTCCTCAGCTTTACACGCTCTACACCACCTGTCAAAGAGGACTTTCTTCTCCCTCGCAAAGTCCACGTAAGTTTGGCCAGAAGTTTTCGTCAGGCCGCGAAAACGCTGCCTGTAGGCCTCAGGCACAAGCTCATATGCCCTGAGAATAGCACCTTTAACCTTCTCATACACCAAACTGTCCTCGACAGAAAGAGAAGAGCAAGCCTCTTGAGCCTTGCCGACTAGCTTGCACTGTATAAGAGTAGCCCACACATTTTCTGGCCAGTGCAGAGCAGCAGCAATGCGCTCAAATGCACCGAAATAGATTTCCACCTCTGATTCACGAAACACAGGGACCAAAGAAATATGCCTGCTCACGTCAAAGGAGGCAGCAGGACCAGAAGGTGTAACTGCAGAATCACCCACCACAGCTGCTTGGAGCTCTAATTGACGCATCCGGACAGCAGTGTCTGCCTCCAGCTCCAACTTCCTGACTTCCAGCTCCAGCTTACTGATCTCCAGCTCCCTCCTGAGCTGAAAATCCCTATCTCGCTCCTCCCTCTCACACTGGAGACGAGCCATACGCACTTTTATCTTAGCATCTAATTTAGACCCCGTAGGTGAGGATCCTTCCGAAAACGAGTCGAATTGAGGTATGGTGAAAATTCTTGCCTGTTCCGTAGCACTCTGAACACCAGGAGTAACACCAACGCGGCCTCCATCATAAGACTCTGCTGCTACAGCCCCGGCCACCGTGCCAGAAGATTCCACCAAAGTAGGCAGACTCAAAACCCCCTGTTCAACTAGTCCAGTTAGCACAGTAGCCTTTAGTTCATTTTTAACAAGAGCAGAGGAGACAGAAACGTGATAATGTTCAGCAACTAACCGCAAATCAACCTTCCTACACAAGTCTAATTGACCCACAGTAGGACTGGCCACAAACTGCTCCAAAACAAAAGCCATCCTTATACGGCTTCTTTTAATAATTTTTTTTTTAACAAACTTCCCCAGATCCTGCCTACCAAACTTACCTAACTATCTTCTGGAACGTGCCGGGCTCGAGGCGATTTTAAAAAGGCAAACATCAGCGGTCGAAACCCTGAATCGCCTGCCCCCAACAGGGAATAAATCCCCACCCAGGATTACCCCGAAAATAAAAAGGCAAAATAATAAATGAGTGCCTGAAGGAAGGACTGATTCAGTCCAGCTAGACACTCCCCTCTCTAAACTGAGGAAGCTGTTCAACAGTAAATAATTCAGCCAATGCTACACTTATATACACCACTACTATCACCAAAGACAATCATCAACACCACACAACAAACAAATACTCACTCCTTGTCTCAAAGAATGGACGAGCCCCCATTTGTTACGTTCCCTCCTAATCTAGGGGTACGAAGGGAAGTAACAAAGCACCGAAATGACCAGGCACGAGAAACAAGGAGAAAACTGATCTTTGAAGCCATAAGCTGGTCCTTTAATTAACCAAAAGAAAAGGGCTCACCAGCCAACATGCAAAACAAATCTAGACACAAAAATATATACTGGGGACATGGACACCACGCTGCACACATCCAGCCAGGGGAGAAGGGGAGAGCGACTGCAACCTTCCTCCTGTCCTATATGGAGGCCCTGATTGAGGATTGGGAGCACCTGGGGAGAGGCTGCACCTGGGGAGAGGCTGCACCTGGGGAGAGGTTGCACCTGGGGAGAGGTTGCACCTGGGGAGAGGCTGCACCTGGGGAGAGGTTGCACCTGGGGAGAGGCTGCACCTGGGGAATCAGAGGGAGAGAGAAAAAGACACACACACACACACCCAAACACCAGCACCCACTACGGCACGTAACAGTATTGTGGTAGTAAGTGCAAGACTACTGAGTCCAGCAGTATCAATATCATTAAGAACTAATGGTAACATTGTCTTTTTATCACTCATCAAAGATAGCAGAACACATGCATTATATATGGAGGGGACTCTGGCAGAGGATTATTCACAAAGTACACCGTAAAAGTTGTCAATTTTAGACACAGGCTTATTATTATCAACCCATTCAAAATTGATGGAGGCGTTGGCGCACGTTGACACGTCAGTTCTCCGCTCAGTTATTTTCTCTGTTCTTTGGCACAAATCACACCTCATACTTCGCGACTCTCTCCAAGCTGTGGGGAAACTCTCGCCGGGATCCTTTCCCCTCGCCCGTCCTCTCATGTTTTGTGTTGTTTTGGAAACCCTCGAACGTCTCTCTCTCTTTTTCCGTTGTGGCCTGCGAGCCGGTCATGGCCTGCGAGCCGGTCATGGCCTGCGAGCCGGTCATAACAGCTTCAATGTGAAATAACATCAGTTAGTAACTGTTATAGAACTGTTATTCTACGCACGAAAAGTTTATTATTCCGCCGACTTATTTTGGCCCTCTTCTCCTCCCGCATTGAACATCGCAGAAACTCTGTTCAAACATCAACACGTTCAGCTCGGTCGGGAATCGATGGCTATTACTTTTCTCATTCATAACTTTCATAATTCCAGAGATACATCCCATAATGCATCACATTTTTAACATTGAAGTCAATGGAGAAAATCTTCAGACTTCAACAAATCTTCATGCGACTTCAACTGCTAACTGTTCATTCATACTTTCACTCAGAAACCTCATTCCAACTTTAAAATGTTACAAATCTTTCTGACATTATTTATGTAAATCTGATTCTTACTTTTAGAGATATTAAACATTGTTCAGACCTTGTTTTAGAGGTTTTCTTCAGATGTTAACATTAACTAGAGTGCGTGATGTCACAGCTAGAGGGTAAGAAATCTTGAAATGTGCCTTCATATTTTTTTTTTAAACTGCCATAATTCCCAAACCCTACATTCCTGGGACATAATTGTTCATGATAAAGGTAGGAAAACACCTCGTAGCTTGAAAAATGACAAATAATTAAGCAAAAATATTAAAGAATAATTCAACAAAATGCCTCTTGAGGGCATGAAGTGACACAAACGTTCAACATGCCTCCATTAAAGCCCATTGTAATTTCAGGCTGATATTTCCTCACGGCAGCAGCCGCACACCTTTAGTTAAACTGCCAAAAAGGCCACATTATTAACCCGAAAGTACACAAAAATTACACTTCAGATACTCAACTTCCTTGACATGCTTCACGTTTTGAAATTTCACAGATATCTGTTACGGTTCTTCCACAAAACGTTCACATGTAAGAGGTTCATCTCTCATTCAGAACAATGGAAACCTGTGATCTCTACAGAGCTCGTTAGTTCAAATATAAACACCTGTGTAATGGAACACGATGATGACATGCTCAGAGCAGCAGACTTCAGGTAGCAGTGTGCTAACAGTCCAGCCGTGAAGACATCTACGGGACAGTTTGGAGATTTCTTCAAATGCCGTTGCCATGGCAACACAATGCTCGCCATGAAACACCGCTTTCTCATAACTTCAGTGAAAATACTCCAAACAGCCCAGAACTTCACAGGTCTGGTAACGATGCGTACATCAACGCATCTAAGCGTATTATGCCGTTGCCATGGCGACAGACCACTCGCCATGAAACACGATGTGGCTGTAAATCCAATCGACACAGTCCAATCGTCCCCCAATCTTCACTTGTATATCACCGGTCCATGCCTCAACAGCTCTACGCCAAATCTGAGATCTCACCATATGCCGTTTCCATGGAAAGGCATCCCTCGCCATAAAACACGATGTCGCTATAACTCCTATGAAAATGTTCAAAAAGTGCTCAAACTTCACATGTGTGCTAACAGTCCAGCCGTGAAGACATCTTCAGGACAGTTTTGAGATTTCTTCAAATTCCGTTGCCATGGCAACACAATGCTCGCCATGAAACACCGCTTTCTCATAACTTCAGTGAAAATGCTCCAAACGCCCCAAAACTTCACAGGTTTGGTAACGATGCAGCCATCAACGCATCTAAGCGTATTATGGGGTGGCATCAAATGCCGTTGCCATGGCGACAGATCATTCGCCATCAAGTTAGTTCAAAAGTTTGCAGTTCAAATATTCTGCTGCTTTTCCAAGCCTTTTTACTTTCCTTTCTTCTCTCATCACACATTCAAGCCCCCCAGTGTTCATGTATCATTTCAATCAAAATTCTTCACTTTCTTCTTACACATTACATTTCAGCATAGCAATTCAGCATCTGCTTTTCAGCATCTGCTTTTCAGCATAAAGCATTCCCACTAGCAATTTCTTCAGGAATTGCATTCTCTAGTTCATGAATGTGATGCATCTATCTATCAATAAAGTGTCTGGGTCATTCTACAGAAAAGGTGGAAGTACTGCCACTTACTTTTGCAGACACCAAAATACATGACGTTGACCTAATACTCACATTCATTACATATGTTGAATAAATAGAGAATGTCTTTGCAATGGTACTAAATAAAAACATTACAAAAATAGTTTATACATACATTGTAATTTATTTAAAATACCAAGTTCAAGGAACTGCCTTGTCACTTTGTTCATACATGGAAGTGGAGCCTATAGTTTTAATTTAAAAAAAAAATTTTTCAATAAATAAATCTCACTTTAAATGTAACACTGAAATGGTAAAATTATTATTAATTATATCAAATAAATGTCAGTCACCCAAAATTACGTCATTGGTGTTACTGCTACACAAAAAGCTTTTATTTTGAAATAATGTAATGTCTCTGAAGTGCTTCCTGTAACAAGAGATCATTTGAGGCAGTGGACAAAGACATAAGGAAAGTCAGATACTTCTTACTTTGTTTGTTAAAGGTGTCATTTTATCTTCAAATTGTACGTGCGTCTTTCAAGTCTGTCATCATTAGTGTTACTAATTCATAGCCCTAGGGGTGAACATTTATAGGAATATATTTCAGCAGATTTGTATCACCCAGATTCCACCTTTTCTGTAGAATGACTCATCTATCTATCTTATAATAGCAGGGTCAAGCAGAGTGGGGTCGCCTATCCCTTTTAAGAGAGAGAGGGAGGTGTGGCGCGTGCATGTGTAGAGCGAGAGTAGTGTGTGTCCGGAAGAGAGCGGGAGTAGCAGCAGTGATCAGTCTGTCTCCAGTTAGCTGTATAACAAAGTCCTGAGGAAACACAGCGGCCTCCCAAGGAACAGCCTGCCTGTCTGCCTCATTTCAGAGTGGGTTATTGAAGCCGAAGCCTGGTGCTTCAGTCCGGGAAGACTGCAGAGAGTCCTCCCCTGTATTCCTCCACTACGGTCTGGGAGCAGCATCTATCTCCACTGTTGCTGTAACCATGTTAATGTCCCTCTGTGGGACCAATAAAGGACTTCTGATTCTGGGACAGACAGAAGAGAGGGGGGAGGGGCGGCTTGGAAAGCGGACTTCTTCTTTTCCCGGATTTGAAGAGTCCTCTTCCTCGCAGCCCAGCGTATCCCAGGATGCAACGCGCGCCGGTGACGAGGAAACAAAGAAAATGTCGGCCCGGTCTCAGAGAGAAAGCAGCACGTTTAAATGTGAGTATCGGGTTTAATTTACTTTAATAACTGATTAATGTGAGTATCGGGTTTAATTTACCTTAATAACTGATTTAATGTGAGTATTGGGTTTAACTTTCTGTAATGTTCTGTTCTATGGACATATAAGTGTCTACATAAACAGACGAAGCGGACTGCTTCTCTCATTCCGAGTGTCCATCTTTATTCAACTGGCGCGTAACATGCACACATGCATTACGTCATCAACGTGATCTCTGTAATCAAAGATCTTGTATTCACCAAGATGTTACATCCCCCTTCTTTAGAAAGAACAGTATAGCTGCCATAACAAATTATAACCATATGCATTTAAAACATTTAAAATAAATGTACGTCTTAAGGCACTATATCTACTAATTGTGATTACTCTATCACTGAGGGAATATTATAAGGCTCGTACATCAACATTTAGTAAACACTTCTGCAGTTTAACTTATCTTTTTGAACAGTTGCCCAGAAATAATTCTAATAGAGCATGTAGTACTGCTTCTGAAACAAAACTGTTGAATTCAATTTCTAAACAAACAAAAATCACAGTGCATTGTCAGTATTGCATTTATTTTTCTCTTGGCTTCACTATGCGGCCTGATCTTGTGATCTTATTGTAAACATTACATTACATCACATTTAGCTGACGCTTTTATCCAAAGCGACTTACAATAAGTACGTTCGACCAGGAAGACACAACCTTGAAGAAAACAGAATCATAAAGTACATCAGGTTTCATAGAGTCAAACATTTCAAGTGCTACTCAACTGGCTTTAGATAAGCCAGTCCTTTGTTAGTATATAAGTGCTTTGTTAATAGTTCTATCGCTCGAAGTGGAGTCGAAAGTTTTCAGTCTGCGCCGGAAGATGTGCAGGCTTTCTGCTGTCCTGATGTCAATGGGGAGCTCATTCCACCATTTTGGAGCCAGGATAGCAAACCCACGTGTTTTTGCTGATGGGAAATGGTAAACAATGTGTGATTGCTCTCTGGGGCCTGTTTGTTTCTCAGTGTCCTGCTGCAAAGTCTCAGTGTCCTCAGGCTCCAACTGCTCGTCTGATGGAGTTTCCTGATCTGTGTCACTCTCACGCGTTTGTAGAAGGTGACGCATGTTGCGCCGAAACATGTGACCTCCGTCCGTGCAGATGGATCTCTGGGTACCTGCTGGCTCGACTACTGTTGCAGGTTTCCATGTCCCAGTTGGAAGCTGCAAGCGGATCGTGGCTCCCACTGGTAGTGCAGGCGGTGATCTGGCATTCCTGTCATAATATTGTTTTTGTCGTGTTTGGCACTGTTCTCTCCTGCTGTGAATGGTGCTGCGACAGGCAAGCTCTGGTTGTAGATGCTTTTCAGTGGTGGGAAGGATGGAGCGCAGACGCTTGCTCATGAGTAGCTGCGCTGGCGATTTCAAACCATCCACTGGTGTGTTTCTATACTCCAACCAGCTGAGGTACAAGTCAGTTCTCTGAGTGTGTGCTTTGTCCATGAGAGCTTTGGCAATCTGAACTGTTTTTTCTGCTAGCCCGTTGCTCTGTGGATACAGAGGACTGCTTGTGACATGCTTGAAGTCCCATGCATGAGCAAAAGCTTTAAACTCTTGTGAACTGTAGCAAGGTCCATTATCGCTGACTAGTGTCTGTGGTATTCCAAATCGAGTGAACGTGGCCTTCAGCTTTTGGATGACTACTGAGGAGGTGAGGCTGGTGATTTTTTCTACCTCAAAGAACCTACTATAATAGTCAACTACAACTACATAGTCAGTACTGTTCCATGTGAACAGATCAGTGGCTATTACCTGCCAAGGTTGTTCTGGGATTGGGTGTGACATCATGGGCTCTTTTGGGAGTGAGCTGCGTCGCTCAAGGCAGGTGCTGCAGGTCCCTACTAGTGTCTCTATCTGCTTACCCATCCTCTGTCAGAACAGCACATCTCTTGCACGTTGTTTGCACTCTTCCATCACCTGTCTCAGCACTGAGAGCTGCTCATCTTCGGCTGTAGCGGCTCTGATCTCTGCCATTTTGCGGTCGCTTACCGGAGCGTTGCTGATCACAGTGTGTATTTGGTAGTCCATGCCCTCACTCATGGAGCGGTCCTAACACTCAAGTGGCTTTCTGGACAGAGTGTCTGCGACGGGGATTTGTTTTCCTGGTTTGTGCTCGATAGTGATGTCATATCTCTGTAGCTGCAGTAGCATGCGTTGCAGACGCGGTGGTGCAGCTGCTAAGGGCTTACGCATGATTGACTCAAGTGGCTTATGATCTGACTCGACGATCACCTGTCGTCCGTACAGATATTGGTGAAACCGCCTACATCCAAAGAGCACTGCGTATAGGTCCGTTTCGATCTGAGCATAGTTCTCTTCAGTTCCAGTCAGTGTCTTTGATGCGTATGCGACTGGTTTCTCTTCCTGGAGCAGGACAGCTCCTAAGCCGTGTTTGGAAGCATCGACTTGTAACTTCACATCCTTTGTGTGATCGAAGTAGGTGAGTACTGGGCCAGGCTCCTGTATTAGGATGTCTTTTGCTCGTTGAAAGGCTGCATCATGATTTGACTTCAAACTAGGGGGTGTAACGGTTCACAAACATTTCGGTTCGGTACGTACCTCGGTTTTTTGGTCACGGTTCGGTTCGGTACGTTTTCGGTACAGCAGAATTTTTTTTCACAAAACAAAACATATATATATAATTTTTTTTAATTATTATTAAACTATTATTAAAATAATGTATTCACTCAAATAAATACAAAATATAATAAAATAAACATTAAGGTGCAGCATTTCGATGAACTGAAATAATCTGTATTTGAACTGTACTAGTTCCTAAGCAGCCAGCTTGACATTAGGACTTGCTTGTCATTGTATTTTCATGTTGTTCTAAAGAAAGATGAACTTGTCCACATTGCTGCTGAAAGGGCAGATCTGCTGGCTCTAACAATGTCTCCTGCTGTGGAGAACACCCTCTCTCTAGGGACAGAGGTAGCAGATACAGCCAGGTAGCGCTTTGCTAACATGGCAACATAAGGATATTTGGTGTTTGTAACAGCTTTGGCTCGGTCTGAACTCTCTGCGAGTGGTGGAGGCTTAAATGCTAGCGGGAGTTGGGTTTGCACTTCAGTCTTTTTTCTTTTGGTACCGGTGATATTCACGTTCGGGTGATTTCTTTTCAAGAGTGTGCAAGTTTCATGTATTGCCAGCCGCGTAACCAATGTTAGTTGAACAATGCCGACAAACAGCTTTGGTTCGGTCCACCTGTCTTTGTCCGTCATCCTTGTTCGTAACTGCGAAACCAAAATGTTCCCAAACCGGAGACTTCAATGATGCTGGAGGATTTTACAGCTCAACTTTATCTGCGTTCGCCATTTCGACGGTTCCTCAAATGACTGACTACATTTGAACGCATCCCTCTGACCAGCTCTCATAGTATGCCTCTCATCCAATGAAATGACTTGCTCGCTCTATGACGCGTTGAACCCAATGTGAGCAAATGACTCTGAATGCTGCGACGCAGCACCTGAGATTACTTCCAAGAAGTTGTTCACGTTCTCAATTTTTTACGTTTAACGCTATATTCGTTCGGTACACACGTGTACTGAACCGAAGGGCCCGTACCGAATAATTTCGGTACGGGTACGTGTACCGTTACATCCCTACTTCAAACACATCAGCAAACTCTTCCATCATGGTTGTGTGTGTTATCGGCTTTGCATCAACTACATGTATCATTTTGACTAGGTTTAAATCTAGACATGCTCTTAAGCCGAGGCGGAGCATTTGTATTTCTATGTCAAAATCTATCATGGCTGTTTTCTCACCGTGTCTACATGTTCCTTCTGCTTCTATCCTGTGCCCACCATAATCTGAGAGTTTGCTTGATGGGGGGCCTAGTGTTACACTTCCATACATCTTGCGGAATGTGTCTGCTGGTATAATACTAGTGTTACGTTCCCTGCTAAATCTAGGGGTACAAAGGGAAGTAACAACACACAAAATAACCGGCCGAGAGAAAAAGGAGAGGAACCTGAAGGCTGAAGCCACAAAGTGAGGTTTTAATTAATAAAACAGTAAAGAGGCTCACCAGCCAAATTGCAAAACAAACTTAACTAAGGACAACTTTCTTTCAAAAGAAAGTGACTAACGTAAAACAATACACAAAGACACACTGGAGCACATCTCCTAACAATTAGCAGAACACAGGTTCAACTAGGCCTCACACAGAGACCCTACACTACAGCACGTGACACAGGCTGCACACATGCAGCCAGAGGAGAAGGAGAGAACGACTGCAGCCTTCCTCAGGTCCTTTATGGGGGCGCTGATTGGGGATTGGGAGCACCTGGGGAGAGGCTGCACCTGGAGACAATCAGAGGGAGAGAGAGACACCCACACAAAAGCACACACACAAGCACCAACTGCGGCACATAACAACTAGTCTGAGCAGGGACGTGCACAGACATTTGGAGGGGCTATTGCTCTAAACTGAAAAAGGGCCTCCACTCCCGAAAAAAAACATAAGACCTTTTGAAAATTCTAACTTGTTTTTAATGTAAAAGGCTAATGAAATAAAAACACAACACTCATTGCAAGTGACACTCAGTTGACTTTTATGTCCAACTGCTAAATGCGTTATTCAGCCTGTGTTCAGTTCAGCCTCTCAAATGTGCTCTGAACTGGAGGCTTGGGGTTAGCCCCCAACAGAACATGAACTTCACTCAGCACAGATACAGGCTTTGCATTTATCACTGATTTGTTTTATTAGTGTACTCCAATGTATGTAGTTGCTTGACATAATCACAGGGCTTCACCTGAAGCTGCCCTGCTGGCACCTTTTATCCAGCTCTGCAAAGTTGCAGTCCTTTTAGCTGCCTCCTTCAGATATCTCTCTCTCTGCTTCAGTCTCCTCTTGAAGGCATTCTTAAGCACAGAAATGTAACTTTAGGCTATGCATAAAATAACCAAACGATTATTACATTAACTAATTTGAACAGTAATTCACATC